ATATTCTTATTCTTAAAATTCTTTTGATTGAGCCCTTATTTGATAGATATTAAAATCAGATTTTTAGTAAATTTTGATAAAATTTAATGAAATATGTGATTAAAATTAATTATAACTTTAACTGAAATTGTGGCTAACACATTTTATCACTCATTGCAATTTCCGTCCAAAAATTACGAAGCACTAAAAAGACTTTCCCGTAAATGGGGAAAATGCACAAACTTCAGTTTCAAATGTTAGTCCCTATTTGGAGGAAGTAGAATCAAAATTTTGAATAGATTTTGATAAAAAATGATAAAATATTTAATTGGAAACTTGTAATTGCCATAAATATGATTAAAATTAGTTATTGATTTTTTATTTATATTTATTAAAATTTTGATTTTGATAGTTACCAAACGGGGCACAGCTGTATTGCCACGTGTTGGGAACCTCAGCAAAAAATGTTTTGATGGATTTCGGATTGTTAAATATTTTTTTGGGTTATGACGCCTGGACAGAAAAATGTTTACAAATAGTTGGAGGATAATACAATAAGGGTCCGTTTGATTGTAAGGATAAAAAATAAGTGAAAAGAAAATGAATTTCAAGGAAAGTAATTGTTTATAGATTATTTTGTAAAGAATTGTTAATTAAGTGTATTTGATTGGTATAATTTTCCACCGAAATTTTTTTGAAATTTTGGATTTTTTGTTTACATTTGACTTTATTTTACATGAAAATTGTCCATTGAAGTGAATTTTTTTTTTTTTTATAATTGGTTACGAAATTTGTTAACATTGCAAAAAAAAAAAAAAAATTATGGAAGAACGTGGGAAAGATTTTGGTGGGAAAATCTTTTCCACAATTTCAAGGAAAATGGCACGTGGGAGGGGGGAGAGGGAAAACTTTTTCTTGGCTAAATTTTACCTATCAAACAACTCTTTTAAAAAAAAATATTTTATTTTTCATTAAGGGTGTAATAAACAATTTAGTACTGAATTTGACCATTTTTCCAAGAGTTATCAAAATTAGACAATTTTTAATAAACAAGCTATTTTTGTAAATTCTCTCCAACGTGAAATAACGAGAATTAATGGGGGCCAAACGGGGTATATTACCACCTAATGCTTTACTGTTAATTACTGCAAGCAATGTGACAAAATCATGAGTTATTGATAGGCTGCTTGAAGGAAACATCACGACTTTTAATGATAAATAATTGAAATATTTTAATTAGTAAGTTGAGATTTCATTTTCAATTGAAATAAACGATGATAAGTATGTTATTATTTGTTAATATCAAACCAATAGGAATTGAACACGTTTTGTCACAAACTCAAGTCATGGAGTTGTTTTACTTCAATTATTGAACCTTTTTTTTTTCCAATTTAGTCACTCAACTTTCACATCTGCCTACTTTTATCTTTTATCTTCTTTTTTTTTTATCTTTTTTTGAAAATAAGCATACCATTAAACTTCAAAATAGCAAGCGCCGGATACAAGGAAGAGTTTCCTCCAACACAATTCTCTCTTCCGAAAGTTTAAGTGCTTCATTTGCTAAAGTATGAGCAACCTGTCACGGACCACATGGTAGTGACATGAGATTGGGCATAACCCGGGAATGTCATGGCACCAAGTGGGAAAATGAGTTAGACCT